AGTTTCGGCTAAGTTTGCCCTGACCAAAAAATGTTGTGGAACAGCTCCATCGACACATTTATTAGTTATGGTAACACAACCAAAAAAGGGATTTTGCACTTTAAGTTTCAGTTAACCCAATGTTCTGTTAATCCTGACAATAAATAGACACAGATGTGTACCAAGTGAGAATACGTAGGATGAGGGACATGTTCATTGTAAGGCTGCTGTTATGTTTATGCCGGAACAATAAACAACCTGCATACATTTAATGCATTTTTTACGCTCCTCTGTTCATTATACATTTAAATTATTTACGAGGCTGTAACATAATACAGCTATAAAAATAATCCAAGTAAACTTTAAAGAGACAAGAATAACATATGTCTTTTTTTGTTTTTGACTTGAATATGAAGAAGTTTTGAGAGATCTTCAAATCTTTATTTTGTTACAGAACAATGAAAATGACAGTTTTTTGTTTTTTTTACTGTGCATTAGGAAATGAGTCAGGTATTTTAATGGAAAAGGTTAATTATCCTCTCCAATTTGGAGTTCCTCCTTGTGTATGGGTGATAGTAGGATGAAGCAGGAAACAGGCTGATAGTTTGGGGACTCATCTGCAGTACTGAAAGGGATTTTCCATTCCCCCAAAAAGCAAACTTCCTCCTTTGGACTGGTAGGGGAGCAGATGTCAAGCTCAGAGTACAGCGGTACTACATGGCCACTGTCTCTATGTTTCATAATCCAAAAGTAATAAAAAAAATATATATATACACTTAAGATGTTTTTTAACAAAGAGAAAAAAATAAATTGAATGAATCTGTGAATGTAAAAAAAACACTAATCCAGAAATTCTGTAAAAGCTGCTGTTACGTGCGCTTCAATCAACATATAAATATTTTGGTGATGAGAAAGAACCAGTTGCTTTTATGTAGTGTTTTCTTCTGCTGAGGGTTATTCCAATCTGATCTGAAGTGAAATTTAAATTAATTACTTCCTTTTATCTAAAATTGTAACAACTAAATTTGTGATGTTTGATTTGTGATTATGTAGGACGGTGAAGTCATTGTGAACACAAAACTTCTTCCCTGGAAGTCAATGTGAACTTAGCAGGCACGGTTTATTGTTGGCTGCCTTAAATCATGGGTGTGTGTTGAATCTTAACAGAATCAGGTAAGGTTAAAGGCGAGGCTTCAAGAAGGAGGTTGGTGCTTCCAGGCTTATCAGCGGGTTTGTTTTATGGGCTTGGCCGCTGTGAAGCAGGTCATTATTTTAAACCCTTAGCTCACCTTTAAACACCTGAAAGTTTGTATAACCTTTTTTTTTGCATGTTGCTTTGACAGCAACAACACATCGCCTTTAAGCAGCCAGAAATCGTAGCTCTTGTCGAATATATGCAGAGGCAGAGGAACAAGATCCTGACCCTTTAGGGCTGGATGTAATAGAGGGCTTTGAATCAGAAGCTGCTGCGTGGGCTTGAGAAGCTAGGCGCCAAACCTCAGCCTTCAAGCAGGGCCTGGTTTAAAAGGGGGGAAATGTACAGTAGGAGGAACATGGGGGTAGCAGAAAGCACGGAAGAAAAGGGGTGGAGAAAGAGATGAGGATAAGGGGAGGCTTGATCAAACATGCAGAAGTACAAAGGCTCAAGTTTCTATAAGGTATCATGAACCAGATATAAAGCTGCTTTTATGTCTTTTCAACATTTTCATCTTATGCATGTAAATGAGTAGGGGGAACAGTTTACTGAGGGAGCTAGTATCTCCTTGAAGACTTTAGTGGGAGTTTAAATAGTAAAAAAGAAATCAAAAGCCTTTGTATGGATCCCAGAAAAAACACCCACATAAAAACCTAACACTGAAAAGATGTCAGCAGGAAAAAATGGCAAACCTCTCAGAAATATTAAGACAAATTAAGGTCTGATCTATGACACACTTCAGGGAAAAAAGTGGAAAGTTTTCAGACATTTAGGGAAATATGTAGAATCTTAAAAGGACGTCAAATCACTAAGCTTTCAGAGCACAGGATTAAAGCAAAAATAATAATGAAATAAAAATCTTCATCATCATCAAGCAAAGCTTCAAAATAAGCAATGGCAGGGCCCATTGGTGAAAGTCAGTGGTGGCTCTAGACCAAATTTAATAGGGAGTCATGGAGTCACTCAACCTAAAAAACAGGGGAATAGTTCAATGTTTAATGCATTAAGTTAGTTAATCAATCCTACATAAGGATGGTTAATTGCAATGCAATCAACTGGTGTTCCTTAGATAGAAAACTTTGAATCAATATGACTGTATGATCTGGTTGAACTGTAAAGTGCCTTGAGATGACTTGTGTTGTGAATTGGCGCTATATAAATAAACTGAATTGAATTAATTAGTATATCTCAACATGGGACTTAGTGAAACACCTTGACTTTTAAGTCAATGTTTAAATAAAACTAAGGTAGCAAACATAATAAGAAACTGAATTTGTCTTGTAGGGGCACTGACCCCTATTGGCCCCTCTCTAGAACCACCATGAGTGTTGAGGATTTCAATCTTAATGTCAGATTTAGTTTTAAGGGGACCAGTGACCCCAAAGCGTGATTCTTCTGTCTGCAAAGTATGAAATATATTATCTACAGACCTAACCCTGCTTTATATTTCTATACTTTATCTCTTACCCGTTCCTCATTATTTATGATGCTGTTCTATCCCTAATAAACCTAAGCCTTTACCAAACAAATAACAAGAATAAATGGAACATACAGCCTTTGTCTAAAAGGCGCTGCATTTTATTTAGGGGTATCAGACTAAACAGACTGAATATTTATTTAATCATTAAAAAAATGTTATCTAGTATATGACTTTTCTCTTTCAATTATCACTTGGGTGTCATTTTTATTTTGTTTAACATAATATTCAAATAAAACTTTAACGTTTGTTGAAATGGAACAAAAAGGTTAAGGAGTTGGGAACTACACAAGAGATGATCACTTGGTTTTAGCCACTAATAAACCTCTTATCGTTTTATATTTTGGTATGAAACCAATACTTTAAGTTACTTTTCAGATATTAGATTTTACTTTAGCTTCAGTAAATGGCATGTTTTATAGCTAACAAAGTCAAACAGAAGCTTACATGGTTAGGAACTTTTTTTACTCCATTTTTTAAGCAGGGCTGAATATTGTCATATTTCTCAAGAAAAACCTTTCTATGTCAAAACTGATGGTACGTGGATTCTGCGTCATTTTGTGTTATTTAACTTCTATTACTCAGAAATGTGTCTAAAGGCACAAACATACATCTTAAAACCACAACTTCCACTTAGCTTATTACGTGTTGACTAACACGATTGCAAAATATCCATTTTAGTGTTTTAGCCAGTTCAAAGTACAAGACCAAAGCCAGTTTAACTTGTAGTTCTAAGAATAAGCCATGACTGCATACTGTAGAGAGGTAAACCAGCCACAAGTGGCTGTGTGTTATCTCTATTGCATAAGATGGTCAAAGTATAACATAATGTTCGAGGAAGCACAATTTAAAAAAAAGAGAGAGGGAGTGCAAAGCCCTGACACACTGAACTCAAACACACACAGAGGCCAAAAGTAGCTTCAACCAGAGCGCGCCAGTGAAAATATATCCAGATGTTCTCCTTAAAGGATAACCAACCCCCCTTCCAACACACACGTGTGGCCACACAGTTACTGCACATAACAGCAGGCAGCATCACAGATTTTCTTCTCCTTTCTTTCTCACCCACAGACACTATCTTTTAATGAAATACTAATACAACAAAAACAGTTAATCAATCTGTTTATTTGTGGCACTTGTGATTTAAAAAGTTTGAGAGAAATGTGTTTGAAGAAGACAGAGTTGATGCCTATGGGACTTTAGGTATTTTAGAGTAAAATTAATCAGTACTTGGAAACTCACAGATTATTATGGGCAAAACTGAAACTTTGAAAGTGCAAGACAAAGAGGATGACGATTCAAAGCCAAAAAGGTGAGAAATCATAGGAGAAATCTGGAAATTTCCTCTTAAAATCTTAAATAATTTCACCAGAGAAAGATGTTTTTGTACTGTATCCCCCCAACTTCAATGTTGTAAACTGATCCCCGGTCCTCACAGAGACAGTCATATGAAAGTCCTCTAACACACCCACACCAGTTAGTGAGCTTTCTCTTTCAGCCCCCTTCAGCCGGAGCTCCTGGCAGGCCGTCTGGTTGAGGCCCACAGCTAAGGGAGCTGTTTTCTCTGGCTGGAGTGGATTGTGTGTGTGTGTGCATGTGTGTGTGAGAGAGAGAGAGAGAGAGAGAGAGAGAGAGAGAGAGAGAGAGAGAGAGAGAGAGAGAGAGTCCGCGGGCCTCAGACAGGAAGGAAGAGAGTGGGCCCGGCAGCACAGCTCCAGAATTCCGGTTTTGTTTTCTTCTTTTTCCATCAGCGCAGAGGCAGCTTCGGGTCTTAAAGAAAACAGTTGTTAATATTTTCTCCATGTTGTTAGGCTGCACACTTCTCTCTGAAAAACAGACCACCCCCCCTGCCTGAAACTCAGTCTGAAACACCAACCTAGCACACATATAATCGCATTACCAGTTCTTGAAAAGAAAACAAACCAACCCAGGAATGAATGAAAATCAAAGTAATGTTTCTATTAGCTCAGTGTGCTCCATAAGAACGTCTATGCACAACTTTTGGGTAACTTCACTTTCAAGTTTCTAATAAAATACTAATCCAGCACCAGTGTTCAGGGTTAAGGAAAATTACTCTGGCTCCTAAATCTATGGATTTTTGGACTAATACAAACCATGGGTTTATTTCTAGTCAGAGCAGGAAAGCCATCCTTTGTCTAACTACTGCATCGTTGAGGATCTAAGCATTGACTTCATTAATCTGGCAGCTGTTCAGAAACACTTTCTTTCATACAATGCACTCGCTGTTAGGGAACACAAACCAGAATCTCCGAACCAAGGTTTAGAGTATAAAACTTTTATTTAGAGTGGAAAAACAAAAATTACAGAATAAAAGGTTCAGACAAGAAAAAAATTAGACTGGATTTCCTGTTTTCTCACAGTCAACAATTTAGAAACAAGTTCTATTATTTCTTTGGGACTTTTCCATCCCAATCGGCTCAAATTCAAAACTTACTGTTAACCAATGAGAAAGTAAAATTTTAAAAAATGTAGTTTCCTAAAAACGCATGACAGTTTTCGTATGTTTTTTCTGGATGCTGGCTTTGTTTCTTCTTGGGATTTTATGAGGCAAGATAAACCGCATTGATTAGCAGACTTATAAAAAGGCACGGCATTGGCTCTGTAATTTCTATGCTTGATGTATGATGGGCCCGTAAAAACGGATTCATGCTTGTTGGATATTGAAGTGCATTTAATCTAATTTTTACTCGGCTAATTGAGATGCAACACTAAAGGCCCTAGTATAGGTCGACAGCACTACAGGCTGCCGTTCTGTATGCACACATTTATATGCACATATACACAGTGACAAGTCCTTTGTCAGCAGAAAACAGACTGCAGACTCAGCACTGCTGTGGAGGAACTTCTCTAATATTCAACCCTTACACCTCTGATATCTGTGAGCGAAATAACCAGTGCATCAGCAGCAAAGCTTGGAATGTAGAATGGTTTTAGTGCTTGTATGACTGCATTTGTAGGGCTACCTATTTTTTTAATCCTTGCTTTTAATGCATTGGTGTATGTTTTTCTTTTCCAACAACTGAGTTGATGCGGCTGCCTTCCTTCTAGACCAGTTGCTCAACTTCTTTCTTCATTTCTAGGCCTCATCTCGATTTTGGAGATGCAGTCCAATCTCCATTTGGTTCTCCAAACACTCCTTCAGCTTGTCCTCCGTCAGCGTCAGCCGCTGCTCCAGGATTGAAACAGTCTGAATGTAGAAAGATGGAGGGCAGGAAGGAGACAAATGAGAGATAAGGGGAATGTTAGAGGGGGCTGTACAGTATCAGAATGACAGTATGACTATATGAGAGTAATGTATCCCCATGTTTGAAATAGAAGGTTGTGCCTGCAGGACAATCCAGTTGTTTGATTTTAAAAAAATGCTCCCAGAGATGGCAATGCAAGTCTCTGCTGTTGGCATGCGGCCCATCTTGTTTGTCCACACAGACAACACAAGAAAGTGGTTTTCTGATACAAGGCCGACATGTGTGGGTAGTGAGATCACAGTATAACATACTTTTCCTCTGAGCTCCATCCAACACTGACAGGATTTGTTGTGGGTTTTTACCTCAGCACATTGGTCCTAAACTATCTGAATCTGTTTATCAAAAGAAGCCTGTAAGTCTTATTTTTAAAGAACACTTTGTGATGAAACTGATTCCATGTTTAATCCTTTCAACATTACATTTTTAAAGGGTTGAAGTATTGTATTAAAAGCCAAAGGTTTTGAATTGGTCCTGAATAATAGACAACCGGAGATGTTCTGAGAAATCAGCTGGTCGTATGTTATCGGTCAGCAGGAAGCTCAGAAATCCAACGTTAATGGACAAAATGTCCACACTGCCGAAGAGAGGAAAAAGACTGCAGGAAAAAGAGGTGCTTCAAAACACATGCAAAGATTATGCAACAAAAGTAAGTCATAAACACAGAAGTTAGACCAACACAATGAATACTATGGGTTTTAAAACAACTATGATATTTTCACAAGTTCTACAGTGGGGGAGTACACTGAGTGCAGAGAGGTTATATTTGTAGCTTATATTGGTGCTCCTGTTTGGCCGTGACACCATCTTGGAGAGAAAAATCAGCTGTTCTGCTGCCATCAACACCTTTGTTTATAGATGTTCGAGTTTGGCCTGTTTTTCAGTGTAGTCCTGTTTCTCTGACTGTAACTGGCTGGATGTGCTCTCTTCATCCTCTGACATGGGAGCTGGCTCGGAGCTTGTCTGCCTGGCTGTGTGTTTCCTGGATGGGGCTGCCTTTTACAGTTGCCTTTTGTATCTCTGCTTCTGTCTCCTTGAACCCCAGTCAGCCTCGGCAGATGGCTGCTCACACTGAGCCTGCCCTCCTGCCCTCTTGGGGACCTTCTGGATGGCTGCATCAGCACCTTATAGGGGTTGGTCTTTTACGCCACACAGCCACTTTTGTATTTTTGTTATACATTTTTTTGTTTTGTTTGGATATTGTATTAACCAATCACAGCTCTTAAAAGATAGCGTCACCCCAAGCAACTGGGTTAATCAACCTCCTCACTAACATAAAAATGTCTGCCTCCTTGCTTAACCGGATGCTAGTGCAGCTCCGATCTGGAGAGACTGAATTGCAATAAGTCACCATGTCCAGAGGGTGTCAGCCATTGGTCCTGAAGTCCTGTACAGAGCAGAGAACCTACAATACTCTTCAGCTTTAGCCTAACCCAAAAGACAGCTTTGCAGTGTTGCCAACTCCTCAGTAAGGAAAGTAGCTATTGGCTGTGCTAGAAGTCGCTGAAAACGTCATTGCCTAATTTGCATAATCTGCTACATGATGTGATGTGCATGTTATTGACGCTGTGGGAGAAATAACGTAGAAAAGATAGAGGGACAAAGAGAGTAAAAAAACTCAGAATATATAGAGCTACTTTTTCTGTCCATTAATTTTTATTTATTATTTTTTTTATTAATGTTTATTTTATTACAATACTAACCCTCCTCCTTTACCCAGGCTTGGGATCGGCAAAATGAACCATAAAGCAGAGTTACAATTTTTCTTTTTTTTTCAACTTTTATTTTTAACTTTTTCTTTTTTCCTTTGTGGTCAACTAAGGAGCCTACAAATCATCATATTAGAGAGGAAAACATAATGGACATGTTGATTAACTAAATATGGCTGTATGAATCAAATGTCGTTATTTATTTAAGATAAAAATTTCAAATTCAGTTATTTTTTTAGATCAAATAACATTTTACATTTACATCCCGCTCGCTCCAGCCGTGAATGTAAGCCAGGGCGGGGCGGCATCGCATGATCAACCTGCGCCATCAATCCCGGCACATGCGCGCAGTTCATTTGCAGTCAGAACGCTGAGGCTAAACATGCTGCGGCTCTGACTGCAACGCTGAGAGGTAGGGACTCCTGCGGAAGCGGGAGAACGGGGTTGGGATGGCGGAGGCGCCCCTGCGCTGGAGGACAAGAGTAGGAACGATACATGCTTTCATGTAAGAGTCTCCAAAAGCCGCCAGTGACACCAGAAAAGTCACTAGATTTGCTGCTAGTCACTTTTTTGAAAAAGAGTCACTGGAGGGGACTGAAAAGTCGCTAAATATAGCGACAAAGTCGCTAAATTGGCAACACTGCAGCTTTGTGGAAAACCTCCTGCCTTGTTTCAGAACCAAAGAAGACTCAGCCAACAGTCCTCAGTGACTATATTAGTCCATCGGAGCAAGCAAACATCTCCAGATCTCATGATTAAATCTTTTAATGATGGTTAAGGAGCAGAACCAGGCGACTTTGAACTGGGGTATGTTTTATGTTTTTATAAATATATGTTGAGTATCCACAACTGTAATAGAAACTAGTATTATATAAAGGGATTTTTATATCAAATTAGACACTCTTAAAATCACAGGAAGGTGTAAGGTTGACGTTTGGATACATGGGGGGGAAAATGTGGCTTAAGTTTTTGAAACTGCAGTGATCGGTATATGGAGAGTGGAAAAATAACATTTTATTTGGTTAACTTATTATCCATGGTATGGGGCATGTTTCTCGGTCTTGGATCTCTGGACCCAGACTGTATCTGCTCTGGTGTAGCTTAATTTTTATCCAGGTCTGTTTTATGAATTAATTGATTTATTTATTGTTATTGAAATATTTATTTATTATAAAAAAAATTCAGAAAGTTACTTCTGTGTCCATTGTGGATTTTCTGTTAGTTAAATGCAGGGTACTTAAATTTTTTTTCCACATGTGTATATCATTCAATGTTAATCCTATTGCATACCCAAAGCCAGAACCAAACATGAAGAATCAACTTTTAGTCCTTCTGCCCAACTAATCTGGAACAATCAAGAAGATAGAGGACTATAAAAGTTTGAAAACCATAAGTTTCTTTAAATCAAAGTTAAAAACCTATTTGTTTAAATTTGCCTGAAGTCTGTACTTCAACTTTCCTTTTCCTGTCTCTATGATGCCACTGCTATTTACTTTTCTGTGTTTTCTTTTATGTTCTTTTTTCATGTACAGCACTTTGATTGTTGTGTTACGAAATGTGTTATACAAAAACACTTGCCTCGACAAGTAAAAAAGTAAATTGTCTCACCAAGAAACGGCTGTCAGCTATCAGATCTCAATTTTCCACTAATTAGTTCCTTGCTTTCCTAATATTGCCTTGTAGTGAAACCATCCAAGCTAATAACCTTTATAGATAACATCATAATAAGAATAAGAACAATAAAAAAAAAAAAAGATTAAGTGTGGTGATTTCATCAGACGAATGAAGCTCTTTGGGTTTGGAGCAATAGAAAAAGCCAAACTTGTCAGCATGTCTTGACCTGAAAAATCTTCAATATGTCATTCCAGCGAGGGTAATTTAGACATTCCTCATTTCTAGAAAGCGACAAAGAGATGAGTCATTTCCTGTGCAAATATCAAACAGCCAAGTGGAAAGAAACATAAAAAAATATTTTTCCATTACTAGTCACAACACAGCCTTTTAATAATAACCTTTAAATGTTATTGCATACAGTTATTATTATAATATAATTATATGGGTTATGACGCGCAATGGTGTTACATCTGTCTAGGTATATTCATTTTTCCTCTATTTAATTTAATTGCTGTACCAGGTTTCCAAAGTGGATACTGATTAATAAATAGGTAGGTTTCAGAAATAGAGTTATATATTTATTAATTTTTTTTTTTTTTTTTTATATCAAACTCAAGTAGCGGATATCAGAGAGTGTTCCTAACTGGTTCTATGATGATTGTCAGGAATTGGCTTGAATCTTTAACTTTCTGTTTTAAAGAGTCAAATTTATTAAAGATGTTTTGGTGTTTATAATTTGAGCTGCAAACAGTATTTAACAATGCTGCATAATGCAGGATTTACAAACAAACAACTTGTGCATAGAATGTGTTTGATCTGCAGTGATGTTAGCAACCTTTCTCCTCACTTGAGGAACAGGTTCTCAATACACCTAACAGGACGGACTAAAACCTGACAGTGTAAAAGATTACTAGCAGTTTCTGTAGAAGATTGCACAACCTTAGTTGCCACAGAAAGTACAGTCTGTGCCTGGTCTTATTCCAAACAGCATCAATAGGTTTGTTTGCATGTGCCTGGTTCCTTTTATCTGAATGGAAAATAAATTATAATTAGAAACAAAATAATTTGTCTTTTTACCATTTTAAATCTAATGTCGTCTTTTTTTATCCTATTTTATAGGTTTTTATCTTTGCTATCGTGCATCTGGGATTGATAAACTATCCATCCATCCATCCATCCATCCATCCATCCATCCATCCATCCATCCATCCATCCATCCATCCATCCATCCATCCATCCATCCATCCATCCACAGTTCCATAAATAAAAAGGACACCTTTTCACATTTGATGTGTAAAAACAAATACAGGCTTAATATTTTGTAAGCATACTATTTGGAACCTTCTGGTGCAACCGGCAATAATGGTCTGAACTTCTAGCACATCACTTTTTCAATCAGCACCAGAATGGCGAACACCTCACTATAGACCTTTTTTCTTACCTACATGTAGAGGATTTTTCTAACTGTCTGCTTACAATATTTATCTAGTCAATCTCAATGCTAAACTGGCCAAATTTCCTGTGAGAAAATCATACCCATCTTGGATTTCTAGCTGCCGTTACACTGGCAACAACTCAGCATTCCTGTTTTCTTCTTGCTATTTAGACTTCAAAATAAAAGCATACAGGGAACGTTATAAACATCTCAGAGGGTTGCTTTTTTTCTAAGTAGTGCTCCATGTAAAACCCTCTGTCACACAGAGTAATGTGGGGCTCAATAACAATGCAAAGAATGGCTGATTTCAGTGTTTTCTCGCAGTCTCCAAAAAAGTTTTACAATGAAAGCAGAATAGGACTGCCAGTACCTAAGAATTTACTGATTTATGGAAGCATTGTGTCTTTACATTTGCAATGGTGATATCAATATATTGTGAAGCTCTAAGAATTGATATGCAATCAAGAACCTAAAGTTGATAAAAACCATATATAACAATTTTAAAATGGAGCAATGTGTTCAACTTTGTTGGCCAGAGCCATTTTCATTTGGTATGTCTAACATCTTATGTTACTCTGCCCATTTTTATCCTCTTTGACTGTGCCTGTTTCCATTTTCTGGATCAATACCCTGTTCATCTCCTATATCTGATGCAGCACCCTATTCCCTGGCACAGCCAGGGAGTGGTGTATGTGTCTCCATCTGCATGTGTCCCTGAGGCACTAGCAACAATAAACAGGCCTATGGTTTTCATCTGGAGTGGAAACCAAATCTTTTTACTCCTAAAAATAGAGTGAGCCAATGCCCTAAGCATTAATTCCCTCTGTTACAAAGTCACATAACTTCAGGATGACGAAAGTTGCAAAAGCATGAAAGTCAGAGGAAAGAAATCTAGTGATGATGATAATAAAGGGAAAACAACTCTTTCGTCTAAATGTACAATAAGAAGGGTATCACACGTAAAAAAGTATAAAATAAATAAAAACAGAACAAAAATATAAACGAATAAGTTAAAAAACATCCTAATGGGCTGAAAGAATCCATAGATAAGTATAAAATGCTCGATTTTCTTGGTGAAACAAGAGGGACAAAAAGCAACGCAGTAATCTGGGACTGAGTGTTACTTCATAAAAGCCATAGGAGACGTCACATGACAGTCTAATATACAAACATAATGTTAATATGTCTGCATATTAACAGAACATGCTTATTTATGTCTACGAAGTAAACCAAGTAAGCATCATGTCTATCATAAGGCATTATAGCATAGTAGCATGGAGTAGCATTAGAGTTTGATTGTTTTAAGGCAAAACACTGACATTCATAACAAGATTGTGCAAGCAGCAGAAAAGGTCACATTTGCATTTTGCATTACATTTCCTTAATAATCTAAAATAAGACAGTTTAAGAAGCAGAACCATTTTATGGGTTTGCAGAAAAAAACAAATTCTCTGTCAGGCTGATTATTGCTTTGTGTCATAAGTATCTTTATAAAAACAACAACAATTTCATATCAACTAATATCCACATTTAGGACACAACTTAAGACCTATAATAGAAGATCGCCACAACTCTTAAAGGGGTCATAGAATGATTATATAGGGTATTTAGTGCTGGTCGTTAAGGTCTCTGAATAGGATGTGTAACATTGCTTGGGCTGAAAATGGCATATTTGCTGTCCTGGAGCCTTGATGCAAGCCTGGTTAAGAGCCCCAGCATGAAACAACAGGTTTTCTCCCTTTTATTGTAAGCTCATGAATATTTAGATGAGCTGTGCGCTGATTGGTTGGTTTACAACGAGCAAAGCTGCTGAGCAAAGACGCATCATAGCAACAAGCACTCACTCACTGAAACATCAAATTGTTGATATGGTAGGGTGACCAGATGTCCTCTTTTACATGTCCTACTACTGTCATACCTAAAAAAATGTCCGGGGGGAATTTCAAAATCATATATAGTGCAGTCAAAACAGGGAGCCAGTGGGGAACGCAGCGACCAAACCTGACCCAGTGACGGTAGCCTGGACAACGGCGGCCCCATGCCTTTCCTGCCTGCCTAACCGGGCACACGGGGGAAGCATACCGTCAATGGATCGGGTTCTGTCTCTTCGTCCTCCGCTGGGGCCCAATCCGGTCCAGTCAGTGGCCCAGCAGCTAACAGGCCCAAAATTGAGATAATCGAATTTAAGACTGAGTCGCAGTGAGATATTATAGAGGGAACAGAAAAACATGTTGGGGTTAAAAAAAAAAAAGTAATTGGTGAATGAGTTAAATAAAATATATTTAGTGGGTGGTGTAATGATAAGACCCTTATCACAGAAATACAGTACAAAGTAAAATATTAAAAAATATATCTGGGGCAAAAAAACTCCAAACATTTAGAAGCGTCATTAAACTTAATGAATGCAGGGACACGCAAAGAGATATGAGGCCAAAACTATAAAAAATGGTCGTGTTCTCAGACATTCAGAGCAGGACTCCTAATTTCCTACAGCTCTTATTCCACCTGCACCAAACTGTACATCACTAAAACCACTTATGGATGTAAAAAAAAAACTGTGTGATGTCTAAAAGAACACAAATTGATAAGAAGCAGAGCTTTTAGGACTTAAAGTGGTTGCTGTCCTTTTCTGCTTTGTTCAATAATCTATTTTTAGTCCTGCAGGCTCAGGCTTCACACTGTGCCTGGCCTTCACCAGACGATCACACTGAGAGTAGAAGCTAACTAAACACACCGGCATGAGTCAGTGCAGAAAAAAGAAAAATACATTTCTGTGTGAAGTGAAGTGAGTTAGCAGTTACAAAGCTATTATAAAGGTAAGATTACAGACCCTTTACAAACACTCAAGGGATGGGCTGAGGGAAAAGCAAAAGTAGAAATGTACTTTCTTGATTGGTTTACATTAAGGCAGTAAAAATATGTACTTTTAGTTTTGATCTTTTCTTAAAATACTTACAAATACTGTGCAAAAAAAAGGAAAATATCACCCTTTGTTTCAGTAAAATAAAATTCTACATCTGCTCCTAAAGACGTATTTGTTCTCAGCTATGTGGATAGGAGGCACAGCCACTGTACCATACATGTTTATCCAGATGAACACATCTTCTGCTTACCTGAGTGAGAACATCCAGTTGACCAACAATGTGTTCTAGGGTGTTGGTTAAACTAGAGGGAAGCCTTCCATCTGATGCACCAGACACAACTTTATCCTTCTGTGTAGGTAGTTGTACACTTCGAGTCTGCTGGGTGGAGGGTGAACCGACTCTGTGGGTATAATAGTGAGCCCCTCTACTGTGGCTGCAACTACTATTGAAGTCAGTGAAGGTGGTAGTTTGAGAGTCTTGTCTGTTAAGTTGCTCCACTCTTTCAGAGGTCTGCAGAGAAAGCAAAGGGACAAAAGAAAAGCTATAAACAGGGGATGTACCGAGCAGCCAGTTGATGACATGAATTTACCCATATTTGTACCAAATGAGATATCAGTGAGTGAATGCATTATATTTCAATTTGTGTTAGCTACAGTTTGCAGTTCCCATAAATAATAATGCAGAATTACTCAAAATTAGCCATTTGTCTTAACAGCATGTCAATGAAAACACAATAGATGTGAAATATTACAGGAAACGAACAGGTTGTGTGTGCTGTTTATACATACTAGCATTTAATTCAGACAAAATTATGAATCCATTCTGCTTTTGGAATAAGAACAACCTTAGCAGACAACACAGCAGGTTGGCAGTGTGGGCAGATTACAGAAAAACTGTATTAATAAATTTGAGATTTTAAATTCTATCTATGTTTGGAATTGAAAAACATATGTTGGAAAACTATTAATCACTGCAAGGCTAAAATAAAATGAGGCAATGATTTATCTTTTCAATGTAGCAATAATAAATACTGTAGTTTGGCAAAAAAAAAAAAAAACACCTCCTGTCAAAGCATAAATGTATGTGTAAAATGTGAGAATAAAAAAGGTGTTAAAGAATTATATTCAGCTATATGTAGTAAATATACCATATTTATTCACATTTGATTAGTACAGAAAAAAACGCAATCTTTTGGAGTTAGTATTTGTAGGTCTGAGCTTTACAAAAACCTAAAATTAAATTAACAATGCTGTGTATCATCCATATTTTTTCACCCACCTGCTGCAACAGTACTGCTGGTAGTAAAAGACTCAAAAGACGATGATGCCACCTATACTCAATACAAATAAGCTCTACCTGTTTATTCAAATACTACCAGTTAATGTCAAATACTACAAAGTTTAACGTCTAGAAATACACTATATTGCCAAAAGTATTTGCTCACCTGCCTTGACTCACATATGAGCTTAAGTGACATCCCGTTCCTAATCCATAGGGTTCAATATGACGTCGGTCCACCCTTTGCAGCTAGAACAGCTTCAACTCTTCTGGGAAGGCTGTCCACAAGGTTTAGGAGTGTGTTTATGGGAATTTTTGACCATTCTTCCAGAAGCGCATTTGTGAGGTCGCACACTGATGTTGGACGAGAAGGCCTGGCTCTCAGTCTCCGCTCTAATTCATCCCAAAGGTGTTCTATCGGGTTGAGGTCAGGACTCTGTGCAGGCCAGTCAAGTTCATCCACACCAGACTCTGTCATCCATGTCTTTATGGACCTTGCTTTGTGCACTGGTGCACAGTCATGTTGGAAGAGGAAGGGGCCAGCTCCAAACTGTTCCCACAAAGTTGGGAGCATGGAATTGTCCAAAATGTCTTGGTATGCTGAAGCATTCAGAGTTCCTTTCACTGGAACTAAGGGGCCAAGCCCAGCTCCTGAAAAACAACCCCACACCATAATCCCCCCTCCACCAAACTTTACACTTGGCACAATGCAGTCAGACAAGTACCGTTCTCCTGGCAACCGCCAAACCCAGACCCGTCCATCAGATTGCCAGATGGAGAAGCGCGATTCGTCACTCCAGAGAACGCGTCTCCACTGCTCTAGAGTCCAGTGGCGGCGTGCTTTACACCACCGCATCCGACGCTTTGCATTGCACTTGGTGATGTATGGCTTGGATGCAGCTGCTCGACCATGGAAACCCATTCCATGAAGCTCTCTGCGCACTGTTCTTGAGCTAATCTGAAGGCCACATGAAGTTTGGAGGTCTGTAGTGATTGACTCTGCAGAAAGTTGGCGACCTCTTCGCACTATGCGCTTCAGCATCCGCTGACCCCGCTCCGTCAGTTTACGTGGCCTACCACTTCGTGGCTGAGTTGCTGTCGTTCCCAAACACTTCCATTTTCTTATAATACAGCTGACAGTTGACTGTGGAATATTTAGGAGCGAGGAAATTTCACGACTGGATTTGTTGCACAGGTGGCATCCTATCACAGTTCCACGCTGGAATTCACTGAGCTCCTGAGAGCGACCCATTCTTTCACAAATGTTTGTAAAAACAGTCTGCATGCCTAGGTGCTTGAATTTATACACCTGTGGCCATGGAAGTGATTGGAACACCTGATTCCAATAATTTGGATGGGTGAGCAAATACTTTTGGCAATATAGTGTATATGCAAATAAAATGTGACAAAATATAAAAATGGGAGAGAAAATGTCCAATATAGCTGTTGACTTGTGTTTTAGCATATTCACAGAGTCCGTCTTTGGATGTGATTAATTCAATGATGCATGAACACATGAAGGTCAGTGATCACATTTCTCCATGTTTATGTGTCTAAAAACAGACTCATATCTATATGTTCCTTCATATGTCTGTCTCTTTCTACAGATCTCTGTCTGCTGGCGTGCAAATGTATCACTTATACATATCAGCAAGGAAGAAAACAATTGTATTACTCATCATCACGCAGCAGGAAACTTATTCTCGCTCGGTGAAACACGGTGTCATACTGTGCTTCTTCTAAATGAAGCCAGATGAACATAACCATCACAAGCAGGAAGAAAAAATACCCACTGCTTACCCAGAGTTGGAAAGCAGTCTTGAAATAGCATGTTATTTTTTATGTATTCTGATTTCTTTATACTTGCAAAACCATTTAAAACCTTAATGTTATATCATTCCTACTGTGTGAAAACAACAACCATAGAATTAACGGAACTGCCGCGGGCTTACTTGACTGAAGGCTTTTGCTAATATGCTGCTCTTTATAACAGTGTCTTCATAACTGTTAAACTAAACTTTTAAAGTATTGGTTGGTTCATTTAATATTTGGAGTCTATCACATCACATAAAAAAAAATAAATTGCACAGATAAACCAAAAATATAAAGAATTGTCCTTTAAACCTATGTGAAAATAGACAGAATTAAGAAGAATCATCAAGTAAATAAAAATGATCCCACTTCTATAGCATTTTCATTTCCAAAATATTTGTAAGGAAAAAAAGTATTTGAATTATATTTCAAACAGGCTAAAAACATTCTTAATATCAAGAATTTAGACAAGCTTTATTTTCTGATAAAGAGATCTTTTAATTCAAACAATTGATATGGTTTTAGTTGGCAAATTGTCTTTCATTTTCAGAGGGTGTATTCTGGCATTAACATTAAACTAAAATCAAGCTGCTGCTGACATGTCTTGTACCAGTGTATTCTAGATTGGGGTTAGTGAAAACCCTGGATTTAAAATTGTATTCACATACATAGACAAACACAGTAAAAACTGTTTTAATGACTGAGGGAAAAACTATCAATCAAAAATTTCTTGAGACCTAATCTAAACCCTGACACAGTCAGCCATCATGACGCTCAACAAGGATCATGGAAAACCAATCATCAAAGACATGTCCATCCAGAGAAGGTTACTGAACCGTGCACTCCGAATGTAAACAAAAATCTGATAGAAATCTGAAATGAAAGCAATCTCTACTATGATGTTATGTCCTAACAGGACAATAACAATGCTTGAACCAATAAAAAAAACATTTTGCCCCAAATTGTGATACACCTATGGCTAAAACTCACACATGATCTGGATGAGCAAATTTTAATGGATTGTTCCTTGGCATGATGCGCACCACCGATAAAAAATGTCGATAAAATCCGTTCATAAGCTTTCAATTGATTGTGCTAACAAACCAAAACAAAATTTTCTTCTGTTTTTGTCTTCAGTAAAATTATCAAACATGTCACATTGGACAAATTATTTTCAGTCTTTCCTAGGGGTAAAATAATTTTTGTCCAGGTCTGTTTCATGACTTTATCTCTATAAATCACTCTGTTGAAGCGTGGATGTACAGCAATGTCTAACTTTTATTTGTTCATTATCATAGAAATTCATTTATTACTTTTGTCATATTCAAGTTATTTTTTCTTCTCTCATGAAATGAGCCATACCAACAATTTTGTCTGGGTGTGTATATTGTACTTCTCTAATATTTCAGGGCTAGTTGCTCTGTGTTTTTCAAATCCTACATAATTATTTATTACAGTCAGGCATTCATGGTGATCAATCTTATATCTTGAAGGTTGCTTATATAACTCTGTGATATAGTGTATCGGTGAAGTTTTCACGGCACTCTACTTTAGTGAAAATCTTATCAATGGTATCACATTAATCCCCCCCCATTCTACACACCATTCTGACAATGTGAAAAATGTTAGATTTTTGCAAATCCATCAAAAATGAAAACCTAAAAGATGGATTACTAAAAAATGTTCAATCTTTTGTTGATCCAATCTTGGCAGTAATTACAGGTTCAAGTCTTTTTTTAATTTAAAGCTACAGTGTGTAATAATTACAGGGATATACAGTCAGAAATCTAATATCTTATACATAACTATGTTATTTATCATCATCTACGAGCTCAGCCTCTTAACCTTAATATTTGCGTTGCCTTAGAATTTGTTATTTATAATTACATAGGAGCGGGTCTCGCAGCCATGGAGGCAGACATCTTTGCGCTACGGCAGCGCAGAGCCAACAAACTAGCGATTGCGAGATCGCCCATTACGCTCGAAAGTAACTACGGCAAGTTGAGAGAGATGAACTGAGACAGTACTGAACAATAGATGGCAGTATTATGCCTGAGAATACTATCTGTAAAATTATCTATGTAAACAAACCTCATCACTTGAGAAGGTAGGTGATGCGGACGTCGTGGAAGACATTTTGTCCCGAAACGCTCGCTGTACTGTTGGGGGGGAGAAGCGGTGGGGGCGAGATGTTCATATTGCTGCGGTCTGCAGTCTGGACGTTAGATGTCGCTAAAAATTACACACTGTAGCTTTAATTAGCTTAGCTAGCCTATCTTTAAGGTATTTTGCCCATTCCCTTTTACAAAGCTATTGCTAAGAATATGGTTGTAACATAGATAAATGTGGAAAAAAGGTCACAGCTGTGTGTACTTTCCAGAAGCACTGTAGGAGAAAGTGTCTGTCTAACCTAATAATCC